AAGTTACTCAAGCTGAAATAACGACTGAGTAAACTTTTATTTTGTTTAATATGTGGAATATGAATAAAACCTAAGTGAGGAGCAATCATGGGTCTATTTTTATGTTTCATTTTCACCCAATTATTAAAAACATTGAACAACATTTAATGACTTTCTGAAAGGCTAATATGAAAAGAAAGTGATGTTACATTTAATATGAGTTACGCATTAACTCTGTCAGTGATTCTTTTTATGACTGTAGCTGTGTATTTTTTCCCGGAAGTTTTCTCCCCTGTTGTCGTGGTGAATCATAGTATCGGAGTTCCATTGATGATGGCTTTATCACTAAGATGCTCAAGTCAAAAATGTCTTATCTTTTGACTGCTTGTCTCTGATATCTCCTAACAGTTTTCCAAGAAATTTCTGATATTTACTTTGAAACCAATGCTATATTGCTGCATACTCTGTAGTTCTTATGCACAGAGCATGGCTGGCAGTGAATGCTTGAAAGACATAACAACAGTAACCAAGGGGGGAGGGGCTTAGCTAAGGATCATGTTATCCAATGACATTCCGTTTGGAGCTTCCACCTTGTTCCCCGCTGCGTTGTGATTGGTTGTCCCTCTTCACCGAAGGACACGGCAGTCATTATGGTAAGTGCATTGTGGTAGGAGTTTGCTTGTAGCGTAGTCATTTTGTGAATGTTACGGGCTATTTCCACCAGATGCGTGTTGGTTGTGTCTCCGCTCCGGCACGGCAGCGGAGCCGATAGGATTCAATTTTAGTCAATGTGTGTGTTTCCACCGGCTGCGGCTGTGCTGCGTTCCGGCTCTGTCTCAGCTCCGGCACTCCGGAGCCCTCCACAACAGATACGCAGGACTTTGCCAGATGCCGGAGCACAACGCAGCAATTCAGCACAGAGCAGATCGTGCGGGGCAGGAAGTCACGCACAGAAACAAAATAAAACATCTGGTTAATTTTCAAAATAAAATACACAGTGTTCACGGCGGATCATATTTCCCTGCACTACACCTTGAAAACTACATAATGGGCAGAGGCAGGCCTGAAGTCAACAGGTCAGAGGTTTTCAGACGTCATTTCACCCCGTTGACACCATGGACGAGGAGATATTATACTAGCTGCGGCTTGTTCCTTTTAAATTCTGTATCACAAAATCAGAGAATTACATTTAAAAATACTACATAACATATATCCATCTAACACATATATCTCGAGATTCTGTGACACTGATAACAAACTGAACCTGAAAGTGTAACTCACTTGTTTTATGGTTGCTCATATAGTAGTACATTTTGGAAAGAACTTGAGAACTATATACTGTATAAAACAGCATATAAAATCAACATAGAAGGGAAGAACATTATTACTTATTTTGAATTCAAAGAAAAGAAATTATGCACTACTGTCAATCTTTATATTTTATTAGGAAAATTCCACATCCATAAATGTAAACTTCAAAACTCAACTCCATTATTTAAGTTGTTTTTGATTGAAGTTGATTATTATTTTAAGTCTCTTAAATTGATTACAAATAAGAAATGTATATCAATGATATTCATTCAGAGGTTTTCAACGAATAAGCTGTCACAAATGTTGTGCTGTTTTTTTTTCTTTTTCTTTTCCTTTGTATCCTTTGTATGCATACTGTATACTGTTATACTGATATATACTGTTAATGATCCTTATTATGCTTGTATATAACTGTAAATCTTGTTGCTGCTGTTGCACAAATGGTTAACTAGAATGACTGATTGTACACTGTTTGTACACTGCAAACTTTGAATAAAGTTAAAAAAGAAAAAAAAAAGAGGAGATATTAATCATGGCAGTTCACCGAGGTGTCTTCCGGCAAACACAGCCGTTGGGTATTGACGGACGACGGAGCACGCAGCGGATAACCAGCGGTGCCGTTCCGCAATGGACACGCATCCAGTGGAAATCCGACGTTACTCGTGCTTCTGACATTATATGTGGGTTTGTATGCTATATAAACTATGTGTATCTACATTATATCAATTGGAATGTATTGTCACTAGCTCAGCTCAGTAAGATAGCGTAGCAGTTCGTTAGCATAGCCATTCGTAGCGAAGCAGCTAGTTAGCGTAGCGGCTAGGTAGCATAGGACCTACTTAGCCCCCAGCATCCTTCGACTCAGCAGGAGAGTGCAGTATTTTAGGTGTTGTGTCAGCTGACACTGGTTGTTTTTAAACTGTGGAATATTCAGTGATTAAATTGCAATGTTTTGCCATTAGCTTAGCTTAGTAAGCTAGCGTAACTTAGCGGGTAGTTAGCGTAACGGTTAGTTAGCCGCCATTGTTCTCTGACTCGGCCAGAGAGTGATGTGTTGTAACTTAGGAGAGAGGGGTGTCGAACGGAGCATTTTTCATATTTCCCTCTCTGCACAGAGATGCATTTATTTATAGTAACCACATTTTATAGTGAACAACATACATATGTCCTCTACAAATCCCGACCATGTTTGCAAAGCTTGGATGAATGAGTCGCACTCAATCTAGCAGGAAACGAAGCTCATCTGCCTGTTTGCCTCCGCATGCAGGGATGAACAGATCCACGTTATAATTAACCGCAAAACACGTAAATAACTTCATATTACTGGCGTGTAACACTCATTAATGCTTTAAGCTGAGTCCTCTGGGAAATGAGAATGTCCAATTGAAATAATCTTCTCATGTTTAATGTCTGAAAATGAATTACATTTGTCCAGTGCTCTGTGATATAGCTTACTGTGTTTAACAAAGCATGTTCCAATGCAATTAAAGCATCATGTGTTTGTGGACATAATTGATTTAATAATACAAGTAGACAGTATTTGAAGAAGAAGTTAGAATGCAGTGTGGTCGTGAAACTGTTTGGCCTTGTCAATCAAAAAAGTGTATCAGGTGTGTGTGTGTGTGTGT